GTCTGGCCTCAATGCTGCGAGGCCAGGCCAGACCCTGGACCGTCCAGATGGACGGTTCAGCCTCAATCGGCGGGCGGCAGCTTCAAGAGCGCCGCTAGGCCCAAACAAAGTGTCGTTTGGGCCTACCCGATGGGCTTAGTCCAAAATCAGGCCTTTAGGGCCTGTAATCCCAAAGGTCGGGCCTTTAGGCCCTGGTGTGTTCCTCCGGCCCTAAGTCGGGTCCGGTAGGACCCGTGTGAGTCGAAGATGTAACATGTGTACAGTATTTGTGTCGACCCCGAGAGTTGAACCCGTGACCTGTGTATTTGTAACAGTTGGTAGACTGTCGTAGAGTCCGTAGGTTACAGGGGTTCGACCTGTAAATCTGTCGAGTAGAAGTCTTACGGGGTTCTAGAAGTCGTAGCTGTAGAACTTCTGAAAGGTCAAGGTCGTAGCTGCTACAGTCCTGAAGGGTCAAGGTCGTAGCTGCTACAGTCTTCGAAAGGCCAGGACCCAGACTTCCGGAAGGTCCTAGTACTGGCCTTTCGAAGTTGCTCACGTTTTGGCTGAGGCAAGTGGGCAAGTGGGCAAGTGGTGAGCCCAACTGCAGTACGTCGGCAGTGCGACTGCATCGAGTTGGCAGTGCAAACCCATGCAGTCAGCAGTACCGGTCCCAGTCAGTCCTAATCCAGTCAAGCAAGTACCGCATGGGACTGTGTGCACCACGGGCGGGCCAGACCAACGAACTACAGAAGTATAAATCGAAGGGCAGCGTCCAGCCATTCATTCATTCCTGTGTGAGCCATGTGGAAGCGCTGCCACAGCGACTTGTGCGAGGTGGTCTGCAGTGAGCCCGAGGACGAAGTGGGCGAGAGAGAAGGAGCTTAGCCATAGCGATAGGGTAGCAGCGGCCATAGCCGCCATAGCTGTAGATAGCGTGCAGTGTGTGTGTGTGTGTGTATGTGTGTGTGTGTGTATGTGTGTACAGAGTAACGCGTGTGGGATATCCAGGGTGATCCTGTGTGTGCGAACAGAGAGTTGTGTGGGCGCTGTGTCGCCATAGCCATTGAAGTGAACTTGTATCTGAACTGTGTTCTCGGCTACCATATATCTGAGTTTTGAGTGGGCGCTTGTCGCCAGTTTGCTGCGCACCTGTTTGCATGCATGTGAAGTGTGAAAGATAGCGATTCTGATTGCATTGGTATCGGAGCTGGTACCCGCTATTCCACGCGCGCAGTCGTGTGCTGCAGGGAGAGCTACGCGCCATAGCCGGAGTAGCCATCGGAGAAGAAGTCCGCCATAGCGGACCCGGAGGTTGAAGAAGCCACCGCGCGCACCTGCAAAGAAGACCATGAGAGAGAGAGAGAGAGAGAGAGAGAGAGAGAGAGAGAGAGAGAGAGAGAGAGAGAGAGAGAGA